TGGACCTTTGGTCTGACCCAGTACGGCCATTCTTATGTTCTTGTAAGTTTTTTGAGGGTGGATACTTCCTTTTTCTTCTGTGTTTATACAGTACATTGCACAATTATGTCCTGGTCTGTGGCTGGGATGACTAGGTGCTATGATAATACAAGTAACAATAATTAATAAACTAGTGAGGGAAGCTAGCACTGACTTTGAGTAGCTACTTCCTGGTAAAACCTAGGTCTCTACTAGGATTTACAGCAACATAACTATGAGGGTTAACATTTCATCTATTTAGTAGGAAGGATAAAACCTGAAACCAGCTATTCCTGCAGCTCTCAGGGTTCTTCCACAAAGCGCTAAGCTACACTGCTCTTCCCAACCCTTACCACTGGTCACCATGAATCCCCATGGATTTCACTGGAGGCATGATGAGGCCTGGTGTTTGTAGCCAACATTCAGAGCTGCAAATCAGCCCTTGGGCTACTGTTTATGAAGAAGGTGCATAGAAGTTCAAATCTGATGTTGGAGAAGCTTATTTCAGTGTCAGAACCTACTCTTTTCCTTAGCCATCCACCCACTGACCCCCTCCACCACTCCACACCATTCCACCTCAATTGGTAACACTCTGTCACACCCCTCCCCGCCCATTAAGCCTCTCCATCACACACCATTTCAACCTATTCCCCTACCCTCTCCATCATCCAATCTTAGTAACTGATCCCCCCTGCCACCTTCCCCCTACTCACTGACCTCCTCCACTACCTTCACCAACCTCTCCATCACACACTTCTCCAGTCGCTGCCACGCCCCCACCAGCCTCCACTCTCTCCATCTCCCACCGCTGCCACCAACCCTTTCCATCTCCAACCCCAGTCACTGACCCCAAACATCTCCACCTCTCACCCCCATCACTGACCCCAACCCTGTCCATCTCCCACCCCAGTCACTAACCTCAATCCCCTCCATCTCTCACCCCCGTCACTAATCCCAACCCTCTCCATCTCCCACCTCCGTCGTCGACCCCAACACTCTCCATCTTTCACCCCCGTCACTAATCCCAACCCCCTCCATCTCCCACCTCTGTCGTCGACCCCAACACTCTCCATCTCTCACCCCAGTCACTGACCCCACCCTCTCCCACCACCGTCACTGACCCCAACCCCCTCCACCTCTCACCCGTCACTGACCCCAACCCTCTCCCTCATCCACACCAGTCACTAACCTCAATCCCCTCCATCTCTCACCCCAGTCACTGACCCCACCCTCTCCCCCCACCGTCACTGACCCCAACCCCCTCCACCTCTCACCCGTCACTGACCCCAACCCCCTCCACCTCTCACCCGTCACTGACCCCAACCCCCTCCACCTCTCACCCGTCACTGACCCCAACCCCCTCCACCTCTCACCCGTCACTGACCCCAACCCCCTCCACCTCTCACCCGTCACTGACCCCAACCCCCTCCACCTCTCACCCGTCACTGACCCCAACCCCCTCCACCTCTCACCCGTCACTGACCCCAACCCCCTCCACCTCTCACCCGTCACTGACCCCAACCCCCTCCACCTCTCACCCGTCACTGACCCCAACCCCCTCCACCTCTCACCCGTCACTGACCCCAACCCCCTCCACCTCTCACCCGTCACTGACCCCAACCCCCTCCACCTCTCACCCGTCACTGACCCCAACCCCCTCCACCTCTCACCCGTCACTGACCCCAACCCCCTCCACCTCTCACCCGTCACTGACCCCAACCCCCTCCACCTCTCACCCGTCACTGACCCCAACCCCCTCCACCTCTCACCCGTCACTGACCCCAACCCCCTCCACCTCTCACCCGTCACTGACCCCAACCCCCTCCACCTCTCACCCGTCACTGACCCCAACCCCCTCCACCTCTCACCCGTCACTGACCCCAACCCCCTCCACCTCTCACCCGTCACTGACCCCAACCCCCTCCACCTCTCACCCGTCACTGACCCCAACCCCCTCCACCTCTCACCCGTCACTGACCCCAACCCCCTCCACCTCTCACCCGTCACTGACCCCAACCCCCTCCACCTCTCACCCGTCACTGACCCCAACCCCCTCCACCTCTCACCCGTCACTGACCCCAACCCCCTCCACCTCTCACCCGTCACTGACCCCAACCCCCTCCACCTCTCACCCGTCACTGACCCCAACCCCCTCCACCTCTCACCCGTCACTGACCCCAACCCCCTCCACCTCTCACCCGTCACTGACCCCAACCCCCTCCACCTCTCACCCGTCACTGACCCCAACCCCCTCCACCTCTCACCCGTCACTGACCCCAACCCCCTCCACCTCTCACCCGTCACTGACCCCAACCCCCTCCACCTCTCACCCGTCACTGACCCCAACCCCCTCCACCTCTCACCCGTCACTGACCCCAACCCCCTCCACCTCTCACCCGTCACTGACCCCAACCCCCTCCACCTCTCACCCGTCACTGACCCCAACCCCCTCCACCTCTCACCCGTCACTGACCCCAACCCCCTCCACCTCTCACCCGTCACTGACCCCAACCCCCTCCACCTCTCACCCGTCACTGACCCCAACCCCCTCCACCTCTCACCCGTCACTGACCCCAACCCCCTCCACCTCTCACCCGTCACTGACCCCAACCCCCTCCACCTCTCACCCGTCACTGACCCCAACCCCCTCCACCTCTCACCCGTCACTGACCCCAACCCCCTCCACCTCTCACCCGTCACTGACCCCAACCCCCTCCACCTCTCACCCGTCACTGACCCCAACCCCCTCCACCTCTCACCCGTCACTGACCCCAACCCCCTCCACCTCTCACCCGTCACTGACCCCAACCCCCTCCACCTCTCACCCGTCACTGACCCCAACCCCCTCCACCTCTCACCCGTCACTGACCCCAACCCCCTCCACCTCTCACCCGTCACTGACCCCAACCCCCTCCACCTCTCACCCGTCACTGACCCCAACCCCCTCCACCTCTCACCCGTCACTGACCCCAACCCCCTCCACCTCTCACCCGTCACTGACCCCAACCCCCTCCACCTCTCACCCGTCACTGACCCCAACCCCCTCCACCTCTCACCCGTCACTGACCCCAACCCCCTCCACCTCTCACCCGTCACTGACCCCAACCCCCTCCACCTCTCACCCGTCACTGACCCCAACCCCCTCCACCTCTCACCCGTCACTGACCCCAACCCCCTCCACCTCTCACCCGTCACTGACCCCAACCCCCTCCACCTCTCACCCGTCACTGACCCCAACCCCCTCCACCTCTCACCCGTCACTGACCCCAACCCCCTCCACCTCTCACCCGTCACTGACCCCAACCCCCTCCACCTCTCACCCGTCACTGACCCCAACCCCCTCCCTCATCCACACCCGTCACTGATCCGAACCCACTCCACCTCCCACACGTCACTGACCCCAAACCTCTCCCACCACCGTCACTGACCCCAACCCCCTCCACCTCTCACCCGTCACTGACCCCAACCCTCTCCCTCATCCACACCAGTCACTAACCTCAATCCCCTCCATCTCCCACCCCAGTCACTGACCCCAAACATCTCCATCTCCCACCCCCGTCAGTGACCTCAACCCCCTCTATCTTCCACCCCAGTCACTAACCTCAATCCCCTCCATCTCCCCCCCCAGTCACTGACCCCAAACATCTCCATCTCCCACCCCCGTCAGTGACCTCAACCCCCTCTATCTTCCACCCCAGTCACTAACCTCAATCCCCTCCATCTCCCACCCCCGTCAGTGACCTCAACCCCCTCCCTCATCCACACCAGTCACTGACCCCACCCCACTCCATCTCTCACGCCCATCACTGACCCCAACCCCCTCCATCTTCCACACCCGTCACTGACAGCAACCCCGCTCCCTGATCCACGCCAATCACTGACTTCTCCCGATTCCATTTCCTGCTCCCGCTACCACGCCCCACGCGATCACGCCCCGCCCCGCCCCTCCCCTCCCGCCACTGGCTGAGGGAGCTCGCGAG